AGGTACTAGAAAATTCTTGAGTGGAATGTAATTCTTTCCCCCCTCCCCCCTCCCCCTCTGCCCCCAGGGGAGAACGTGGTTTTCTATCCACTGGATGGTAGGTGTTTTCATCACTTACTACGGGAGGCTCTTGCTCTCCATTGTTCCCCTTGGTCACACTGGAAGTGGGCGGTCCTTTTGGTGGACTGTGCTTCCTGCCATTGGACATTCAAGGCCTAAAAAAATTGGAGATTCAACAACCAGAAGCTTTGCTTCTTTTTTACTTCAGCTTTATATGTCTTTGGGAGTTGTCTCAAAAACATCAGAGACTTCCATTTTATTTGATTCTTGATAGTCCTACATGTAATCTAATGGGACTCAGAGTTACATCTTTTCCTAGATGTAACTCTCTAGAATGATGTTCTTCAGTCTGTTTTATTATTTTTTGACAAATGAAATTGTATATAATTGTGGTGTACCACATGTTGCTTTTAAAAAGGCATGCATTATGGAATGGCTAAATGAAGCTAATTAACACAACCATTTTTTGTCACCTACTTATCCTTGATTTATGGTGAGTGCACATAAATCTCTGTAGGCAATTTTCATGTTTACTCTGCTTGCTATGAGTTATATTTACCATGTTGTGTAATACATCACTTATATTCACTCTTCCTGTCCAACAGTATCTTGGCCAATGTTCTATAGCCTCTGCGGGCTGCCAGTCTACTCTGAGCCTCTAAGAGTTAAACTTATTTAGATACCACATACAGGTGAGATCATATGGCCTTTATCTCTCTATGCCTGGCTTATTTCACTTAAAATAGCATCCACCATCTTTTTGTTAACCATTCATCTACTGGTGGATACTTAGGTTGATTCTATATCTCAGTTATTGTGAATACTGCTTCAAGAAACTAGGGGGTGAAAACATCTCTTCAACTTAGTAATGCATTTCTTTTCCATTTTATGCCCAGTGGTGGGTTTGATTAATCACACGTCAATTCTATTTTCAGTTTTTGAAGTTTCTGTATACCATTTTCCATAATCATCATATTCCTACCAGCAGTGTAAAAGGATTCCCTTTCTCCCACATCCTTTTGGCCCTTGCCTCGTGATTTGTTAATGACTCCCTGGAGGCTATTTGAAGCAATAAGTTTGGATGAGGCCAGAATACCATCTGTTGTTACTCTTTGCCTTAGGACCTAAAGTTACAACCATCTTCAAAGGGTTGTTTCTGAGATTCCTGAGCATATCAAAATGTACAGAGGCCCAGGTATGGTGTGTGATAACGTCTTCTATGTGCTAAAAATCATCTCCACATTAACATTCCTAGTATGATATAAGCAGCATAAAGTAGATGTTATACTATATCGTCTAGGGAATAACAGCGAGGAAAAGAAAATCCACACGCAGTACATGCTCAATAGAGGTGCATCTAACATAGTCCAAACCACAGAGGGCACCATCTGGATGCTGAGCCCACAGATGCGGGACTCTGGGTGTAAAGAACAGTAGTGAACTGAGAAATCTCATGGGGACTTTCACACTGAAGACCCTTTGCATTTTCATCTTAATATTTCTTGGCTAGAAATAGGTTTTAAACATTGAAACTATTGATCTTTGACACCCTCCCTCCGCTCTCTCTGATTCCTGCTTGAGAATAACTCAGTTCATGCATGTATTTGCCCCTTTCTTGTAATTCCTTACTAATGGTAGTCACTCTGCCCATGCCACACCATGTATGACTTCCTGAACACTCCTTCAGGTGTGTGGTCTGCTTATCAACTTATTTCAGACCAGATATTTTGCAATGATATCCCAAGGCTTTCTAGGTTGCTGTAGACTGCTTCCTTGCAACCTTTCATTAAGGAAGTAAACATTTCATAGGGTATTAAGCCACTTCCTGTTCTATTTTTTTTCTTGATCATGTTGGCTTAATTATATCTTATTCAATTTACAGCCTGATCTGGGCTAGTCTACCTAGCTGTTCATTCAGGTACAGGTAGTAAATACCAACACCAAGATTTGAACCCAGGCATCTGGACTCCCAAGTCTCAACCACTTTCATTTAAAAATTTGCATCTTGCAAGACACATTGCTTCCAATTTTCCATTTTTAGCACGTTTCTTCTATATTTCACAAGTTTATATACAACTCAGGCCCCTTGGTCATGTAAATATTTATGCTATCACAATTTTTCAGAGCATGTATTGAGAGATTTTTATGCCATAAAAAATATTGAAGCTCTTTAAATACAACTTGCCACTGTCAATTTTGAAACAGCGTCTTGATTCGTAACTGTTTTCTTACCATATTGTTCCATTTTTTTTCCCAGGACAACTAAATTACACATCTTCTCACTTTTCATTGATCAATTTCCTTTTTATACAAAGGGAGGCTAATGGGAAGCTTTCTATTTTGGAAGATGGAGTTTTGATGACACACAGCCCTGGCTGATCATTAGAGCTCTTTCTTTTCCATAAGGAGGAAGTAGTTACCTTTGGACTTCCATTTTTAGAGGAGAAACTACCAGGACCTGCTATGAACAAATGTTCTTTCAAGTCCTGTTGCACTTATGTACCAGTGGCCTGTGTTTGAAGAAGGTTAGTGGCAGAATGAGGCTCCCCACAAGGGGATTTTGAGGTGCTCTGAGAAGCAGACGGTGATAATTGGTGAAGGAGTTCATCACTGCAGGCTGTCACGTCTCACAGTAGGAGTCATAGGCTGCTCTGCCTGGTAAACTACTTCTTCTGATCTATGAGTGATGCTGTGCTTCCTGTAAAAATACATCTTGCTTTCTACATCCTACGTGCTTCTCAGCCTCAGGAGCATCTCAGGGCTTGAGACTAATCTTGTCATACAGTAATGTCTCCTCTCGATTCTTAGTGTTCACCTGATTTTTCATGCTGTGGTTGTACCCAGTTCCTTTAAAAAAAAAAAAAAAGGGAGTGACATTCTTTACTTTGACTGCCTTCTTGGAGTTAGGATAGAACACTGGGGCGAGACTTTGGACAGGGAGCCTTGACCGCATTATGTAATGGCCTTGACCTCAGCCAGACGTGAGGGATTCTTTTGCATTAGGCTGATGACAAGTGCCTCAAAGTCCACAGAAATTGGTGGCAAATTGTAAGTTGACGCATCCCCCTGCTACCTAGCTCACCACGTACCCTTTGTCAAGTTGTAATGATATTGAGGAACGACTGCCAGTCATTGGCATTCAGCCATCCTGTCATGACTTACTGAAAATACCATTGGGCTCATCCAAGCATATCATTTTTTATGTATTATACAAATGATGGGATCAACTTAAGTGTTTACATTAACTAAGTTGTTCCAATTGGAAAAGGCAGTGAGTTCATTCTTGCAGAGATGGTGTGAACTTTTAGCCTCTTGTAGCGTAGTCTAGAAAGTAGAATCTTTATTGTAATTCATATCCTAGGGGATATCGATGGTGAGAGATCAGACATGGGAAGCACACATGTTCCAGCTACTAAGGCCAGCTTCAGAGCCCTCCCATGCTGTGTCTATGATCCATGGTGGTTTTATGTCTTCTCCTTATTCTCTAAAGGAAACACACACACACACACACACACACACACACACACACACACACAGAGTGAGAACTCAATATGCACTGTCTCTGAGGACAAAGTCTGTATCTTCTAGTGGGTAGTACAGGACAAGCATCATGCATTGATAGACAGCAATTCCTAGTAGGAATTGGAGGTCGGCTAGCCAGTCAAAAGGAGCGGAGAGCAAAACTCTCCGGAAGCGTGAAGAAGGAGCTCCTCATGGGAAACTGTGGGAAACTGGGGAAAGGGACCAGAGAAGAAGAAGGAGGAGGGAGGCTTGCAAAGCCCAACTTTCTCAGTTTCTGAACTGAACTTTTGCGCCCAGCAGGTGAGCAGGCTCCCTCCCACACTGAGCCGTCGCCCCCTGCTGGTGCGCAGTCTGTTAAGTAAACAGAGACTCTCCACTGGGAAAGGAACATTTCTCTATTTTGGCTATGAGCTGTTATTTTTAAAGCTCCATGCTCCAAACATTTCCATCTATCCCTGTTTGTTTCTTTCACTAGGAAGATTTTTCTCTCCTACTTAAAAAAATTACATGACAAACAAAACTCCTTTCCATATAATAGCATCGATTAAAGCTCACAGACCTTTGGTCTGACCAGGGCGCATTCACCCATTGAGTGATGTAGCTTTGAACGTTACCTCTCTGCTTCTGTGGATCCAGATTTCCATGGTCAAAGTGCAGTGCACATGGCTTGTTGTCTTCTGGATGTTTCAGGGCAAATGGCCAACTTCTCCCTTCTTGGACTTGTCTTTCTCTGTAGCTAATACTTAAATGCCATCTCTGTGTTTTGCCACACTCTCTACTCTTAGCGTGGTAAGTGCTTCAGTATCAACATGGTCCTGAGTAGATGTGAAGACTCAAGTGTCAGCTTGAACGTTACCTGTAGGCAAACTCATACCCACTACCCTCTTTAGTAACAGTGATCTCAGTCCAATACAAGCCCACACTTCCCGTAGTTTTCCCCCCGTACTTCAAATGTTTGGCAAAGCACCCTCATGGGGACTCCGTTAAAACCTATGTACAGCTTGAGAGAAGAAATGCTTTTTTCTTCTCTTTTCTTCTCCTAATGACTACAATGTCTAAAATGCAGCAGCAAATCTATAAAAACGTATTAGAGAAAATTGTTATCTGACTCATAATCATTTTTGACTATTGAAAAATTCCATGTTTAACACAGGAGGTTTGGCAGTTACATAAGACCATCTTTCTTTTAAAGGGATGAAATGGGGTGCTTCAGTTATAGAAGACCTATGTGGGTTTTATGGATGTTTTATTGGTGGGAGACCTTCTCCAGTTTGAGTGAAGGTTCATCATCTGTCAAGAGGAGGAGTTGCAGATTTTTGTTAACAGATTAGGAGCTGGTAGATTTTTATGAATGTGAACCTTATATCCTCTGGAAGCCTTTTCTGTGCTTTAATGCCTTGTACAATTTGTTTTCGTAGGAATCAGGGTAAATGTGTAGAGGGCATGGTGGAGATCTTTGACATGTTGCTGGCCACGTCGACTCGGTTCCGTATGATGAATCTGCAGGGAGAGGAGTTTGTGTGCCTCAAATCTATCATTTTGCTTAATTCTGGTGAGTTGACACAATAGCTTAATGCTGGGTTGCTGGAAAAGAATATTTACATGTGTTTATTTTTTTCACGCAGATACAATCTACCCACCACACACACACACAAATAATGTCATATACTGAAGGAAATGGCATGCACTGACTATAATTTATCATCATTGTAGATTACTAAAGAGAGACAGGGTCATGTTGGTCAAATATGATGGGTGAAAAATTGATATTTGGGTGACGGGCACTGGTGGCTTATACTTATAATCCTAGTTACTCTGGAGTCTTGAGATCTGAGGATCATGGTCAAAGCCAGCCACGACAGAAGAGTCTGTGAGCTTAGTATCTCTAATTAACCATTATAAAGCTGAATGTGTTGCTGTGGCTCAAGTTTTTGTTGTTGTTTGAACAAAAAAGCAAAGGGATAGCACTCAGACCCTGATTTCAAGCCCCAGTACTCTCTCTCTCTCTCTCTCTCTCTCTCTCTCTCTCTCACACACACACACACACACACACACACACATGACATTTGGATATTGAATCAAATGCTTTATTTTTGTTGAAATATTTGCCTCCATTCACAGAGTTGGGGACCTCTTTCATTTATAAAAGGTATATGTGTGTAGACATATACCTTATCTCATATGAGAAAGTAAGTAGAAAGTGACTCTCGCTTGAAACTGTGACCTGGGGGTTAGGTATATAGGTTAGTGCCTTACATTCATGAGGCTCCGGGTTCAATCTTCAGGATCACTAGGAAAAACTTATGAGCAATTCCAAATTCCAGATAGTAATGAAAGAAGGTAACTTGGGACAGACCATGTCTCTGGTTGAAATTGATTATATAAACTATAGTTTGTTTGAACATTTAAACAACAAAACAATAATAGCCCCCATCCCAAGCTGAGGAGAGTGGAACATGGTACATTAGTGCAGTGGAACTCATTGTTCTGTTGGCCTATGCCTCCCATCCCAGAGAACCTCCTGTGTGCTCATTTGAGGGAGCTCAGCTAGCAGCAGTGTCTATTTTGTTTTGCTAGTCTGTTTTTCTTCTGCAGGGAGACTGGATATTAAACACAGGGGGGTTGCTTTGATGGAAATGATGGCTTAGTCTGAACTAACACCTTACTCCTCCCAGCTCCTCTGTGGGCCACATAGGAACTAGATCTGCAGCCCCAGAGGGCCTAGAGTTCCTGAGAGGCGTCCGCTGCACGTCATGCTCATATTTCATGATCATATAGTTCCTTACAGCATTAGATACAGTCTCCAGCTCTTCAGCTGCAGCCCTGTCGTTTGCATGATCACGTACATAGAGAATTAATGCTTCCTCCTCTTGCCTCATGTTTGTCTCTTTTCGGTGAGTGCCAGTTCCTTCCATCTCCCCTAACAATTTTCCACTTTCTCTTCTCCACCAGTGTGAGTAGCCCATAGTGCTTAATGGTTATCACAGCAATCATTCTCACTTATCAACCGAGAAATGGAAATTGGTACTATTGCACTAGGCCAGGCCTGAATTACAGAGGGAAGTTCCATGGAAAATAATGTGATCCACACTAAGGAAGTGATTACCACTCCATTCAAGTTTCTGGTTGCACTCACATGCATTGTGCTTTTCATTTGAGTCATTTGTCCTGTACGTTGGAGGGTCCAGATCCCACAATGGCTCTTTATTGGATGAGAGTTCTGGGAGCCATGCCACTCGGCTGCACAGTGCCAGGTCCTGAACCTGCTCCTTCTTCGGTGGAGGGCTGGCACGTGTGGATGGCGTTCATGTGGGTAATCTGTTAACTTCAGGGACAACAGGCCTAACAATTGTTGGGACTTCCCCCCCGCCTCCCCACCTACTTTAACCAGGAAAGAAGATCTCAGACATAAAAGTGAAATTACCCAGCTATATAATCTACTCTGATCTTAGAAATGAAAATTATGTCTTTCCAATCCACATAAACTTCCCTTGCATTTTTTTTTTGTTTCTGCTCTTGTGATAGTTCAGTTAAAAAAAATTATACAGAGGAAGATCAAGATTTTACCATGAAACCATTAGGTCAAACATTAGATCATCTTACCATCAAAACCTTAGATTTATGGACCCTCCCCCCCATACTGAATTTCCCACTGCAGGATTTGCAGCTTTCATACGCAATCCTGTGGTTTTTCTCTCGCAGGGTCTTCTGTGCATCTGCTCACTCTTGAAGGGTTGGGACACTGCTTTGGACATAGGAGGCATTGTGTGCTGACAGAGTTATCTTGAGATAAGAGGGCAGCAGCCTGGCTTTTCCATCAAGGACAGGGCTGCTGGCTTGGGAGAGTGGTGACAAAACAGAAGCAGACTCCTAAACCTACAATAACAAAGCCCATCTCCTGGCCGCAAAATGAGCTGTGTGCTGGAGAGGCTGTTCCAATGCTGAATACGGCTCTGAGTGTCTCACAGTGTTCCTGGAAAAGGGATCAGAGAGGACAACACTGAAACAGCCCTGCCTGCAGTGTCAGAGAGGAGAGGGAGTCTGCAGAGGGAAGGTATCCTTGATGCACAGATGGCTTCCCTCTCAAAACCTGATTGATCCATTGCATGGAGCTAAGGCAACTTTGGGCCTATCAGGAGACAGATTACAAAATGACACTGACTCCAGGAGTCTCTGGCAGAATCCGTACCTAATATGATTCTGGAAACCTGAGGTAGAAGAAGACATTCTATCCCCGGCCCAACTCTGGAAAACCTCAAGGCAGGGAGGAGTGCCAGGCTTTGTGGCAAGTCCCGGTCGGTCCCTGTCTGAGGAGGCTGAGTTCTCCCTGGGGCAGAGGCACCGGAAGAATTGAAAAGTTCAAGATAAAGTTCGGGAAGTGGGTACTGGAAAGGGTTGCGGTGGGGTCAAGGGGGAAAGGGTGGACAAATGAAGAGAAGGAGGGAGAGAACGCAGTCAAGAGTCCAATGTACATCCTACAACATTCAGAAGAGCGAGGGAAGGGGTGGGTACGGGGAGGGGGAGGGGTGGGTGAGAATATTGAAAGGGGTGCCAGTGATCAAAGTTCATTATATTCATAAACTGCCTTCTTAAATGGAAGCTTCTTTGTACAATGACCTGAATATAATCAAGATTAATGAATGAATGAATTAATTAGTTACTTAACTGCAATATAAAAGTTGTACAAGGGCCCACTAGGAATTCCTTTCTGGGTATCTTGAGGGTTTTCCAAAGCACAGCATTTCCACAGAATCCCTCTTCCCAGCTGTTTGGAAGAAGCAATTTGTCAAGGTTTCTGCCTCATTTAGAATAAATTTATTGCTTTGCTTTCAAAAGCCCAGAATTGTCTATAAGGACACACATTGTTTTTCCACTCGAAAGGACAGAAGCATTCCTGGTGAATCCAAAGATGCCTTCGCAAAATGCGTGCCAGCTTCAAGACATTCTGAGAACTAGCTAGGCAGAGTTCAGGAGGAGGGCAGAAAGGAAGAGAGCAGAGGAACTCAGAGCAGAAGCCGGTGGAGTAGTCGCAGTGGGAAGGAGTTAGAGCCACCGAAGGGAGGCTGAGAAGGAGACTCTGTGCCTGTTTTTATCCTCCTGCTGCCCCTGTGACTGAGAAGCCTCCTAAGCCTGGCTTAACTGACACCTTATTTGGGAAGCCATGGATATTCTCATGTGTCCGTCATGAATCCTCTTTCTCTGGAATGTTCCAGTGCCTAGACCCTCTACAGCACGATCTAGCATTGACTAGCTGGTAGACTTCCTTTACTCAGAATTCAAACTCATTTTTCAGTTACTCATGTTTATTAAGTCCCTCTTAATGTGTATTGCATTCCTGCTACAGTCTTTATGCCAACCATACCAAAATGAAAGTCATAGTTCTGTGGGGGGTTTTTTAAACTGTTTTAAAGCTCAATTTGTTCTCTACTTCTTTGGACTTGCACAACTTAATTTCCCTTAAGAAATCCTCTTCAGTCTTTTTTTTGTTTTTCTCATAGTTTTTGGACTGTGGACTGTCAAAATATATCACCTCCCAATCTGTCATTAATAGATACTGAACGTGATCAGGAGGGCCTGGAAAGTTCTCATTTCTTCCAGGCGGTTGCAACCATTCTGAAATAGATCGTCCTTTTACATGGACTGTATCACTAGATAATATCAGACTACTGGGTGGAAAAACAGAGCGCCAGGCTCTAGGGTCATTACAGAGAAAGAGGAAGTGACGTAGCACGTGTCTAATGAAGGTCATGGAGCGCGTTGGTCTCTGCCAATGGCAGTGCTGAGAACCTGACCAGAGTTGAGCCGAGTCAGGCATTCGCTCTGCACAACTGTGTGAGTTTAAAGCCCCACAGCTAGGCTTATAAAAGAAATGCAGGAGCCCCAGGATAATAATTGAGACTGTAACTGTTACCCCGAGACTTGGTTAGTTGTGCGAGTGAATGATGTGTAACGTAATGGGTAATAAGTGATTTCGTGTCAAAAGACCTGGGTGGAGTGGCAAGCCCCTGAAGAAGCTCTGCCCGCCGTTCTTTGCGGGGCCCTGACAGCCATTGCTCATTGGTTTCACCCCCTTCAGAATCCCCTCCTCCTCCTTGTCAGGGACCGTTTCTTAACACTCTGAAAATGCCTGTATCAACACTTCATGTGTATAAAACCTGAAATCTCTAATGAATGTTTCCTTTGGCCTTGAAATTTAATGAGTGTTGCTATCCCTTTTGGAACTCCCTTTATAATTAATTTTATTAGTGTCAATGTGTTGTACAAGGGCAGTCTGCTTTGGACACTCAGATTTACAGACAATGCACCTTGATCATAACATACCACTTGATCACCCACACTTCCCAAACCAGCCTCCAGGAGCACCCCTTTCACACAGTCACATGCGTACAGAACCCCACAACCCCCGCTCGCCCCCTCCCCTCCCCACTGACTCCCTCCCTCCAGAGAGGATCTGCTTTACATTTCTTGGTACCATTCATTTAAAAATATTTTTTAGTGTGTGTCATCCGAGTATATTACACATCTATGCCCATCCAGTGCTTTAATCCATTT